AAACAAACAGTTCTCTATTTAGGAAGTAATCTTTACGACAAAATCATTCTAGACTTATTATAACTTATTATGCAGCCACTTGGGTGCTTTAGGCATTCTCATCACTTTCATTACAAGAATGGGTAGTTTTTTTGGAAATGGCGCAGAAAAAGTCTGCAAAGGCTTCTGGGTTCTGCCCTATCGGGATTTAGTCGATATGGTAGGGAACTGGTTGGACCACATTTGGCCACCATTTTAAGAAAGTTGAAAATATTAGATTTTTTTTGATATACGGTAAAGGCTATTGAAGCTTGCATAGTTGGAAAAAAATGGCACGATAGGATGCAAAAATGCAGAGCCAAGTAATGGTGGCGAGGGCTTTAGGTAATCATCTTCTATGAACTTTTTTTGGCGTGTAACAGGTAAGAACAAACTTATCTGGAATTTAGAGTAACATGTGTTTGCCCAGTCAAGTATGTTTGCCGTCATTCAAAGTTGAATGTTTCGGAGCATTCATGCCAGTGTCAAGGATTGACAGCATTTGTGTTGTGGTTGATCTGTACTATGATCTCAAAACTCCAAATGGTAATGAGAGAGTCATTTTAGCTGTTCCACTTGATATTAAATTGCATCTTTAAAGATATTCTTTTCTATTTTTAGGAACTTCTCGTTTGAGACCTTGGCCTTAAGATTTACACATACATATACGATAAGACTTTGCTCCTCGGTGATTGAGTATTTCGGTATAATTTAAGTCCAATGAGTGATTAGCTTCGACTTTCTCTTCAAAATATCAGCTCATTATTAGTAGGTCTAGACTGTCGGGCTCAAAGGGTTGAAATCGTAAGGTTTTACTTTAAGGTTTCTAATGAGGCTGTTTAATGAAAGAAGTATGAATACATCTGACTTTCTTGTGCTAAAATTACTTTATCATACTGTCTGCTTTGGTCACAGCCCAACAATTTGTATTAATTCATTATCATTGGTTGTTTATTGTTAGATGTCCAGGTATTAAGGACAATAATACATTTTTTTGGCTATCACAAGGTATTTACTAGTGAGTCTGCTATTTTTTTGGAGGGGGGGGTAAGAGGATGTAAAGGACACTCAACATTTTCTTTACCAATTGGAAAATTGAAAATTGAATTGAAAGGTATGAAGCAGTTGTGTTAGAGCTACATTTTTCTCCAAGAAGTGAACTTGAGCTTGGGGCTTCACTCTATAGATCTGGACCTTGAGGAGGAATGTCAATGTCATGGTAAAGGGCAGTAGAGATATCACTTTCTAGCTGAATATGCTTCCATGTCCAGCAAGCACGAGGACATGTGAAGCAGTGAAATACACACCGTTGGCTAACTTTGGTGATACTATTTGTTCTTAGTAGGACTTCATGAATTTAAAATTTGTCTCTCGAACAACTCTCTGATTTGAGCCCTGAAATCTTCCTCTTGCAGAAACTTGTCAACTGGGAAGTCTACTTAAACATCAAGTTATCAAAAAGTCTTGCATACATCTAAATCAAAGGTTGTTGTTACTAAGCAC